GTATGAAATCCCAGGGTGTACACTAAAGCAGGGAGACCAATTAGGAACTTTTATAAAATCCAGACAAGACAGGTTGTGAACAGAAGCAGAGCGTTACAAAGTGATCAGGGGCAGGGGTGCCACTCAGGGATTGATAGAGCATGTTTAGTATGTGCAAGCCCCTAGGTTTGATCTGCTCACGCACATGCATACACTCACACACACAGAAATACCTCAAAGATAGAGCTCAAAGGCAGTAGGAGAAGAGGAGCAGAGAGTCACTCCAAGATTCTTCTCCTGAGCAAGTGAAAGGAGTGGCCCTTACCTAAGATGCAAAAACAAAAACCACCACTGAAGGGAGCGGGTAAGAGATCAGGGACCTCAATTTTGGAGGAGCCAAATCTGAGACAACTATTACATGTGTTAGTGGGTCTGTCAAATGGGAAGTTGGAGATCTGAGTCTGAACTTTGGGGGTCAAGTCCGGGTTAGACATCAACACAGATATGGTACACCATTTATATAATAAACCAGATCACCCAGCCCATGTGGGTAAAAAAAAAACAAAAACAGAAGAACTGAGCCCAAGTTGTTGTTGTTGATTACTTGAATTATAAAAACATACCTCTTGCTTTCCTATTGTATACAGAGTTCACTAAATTATTTTCAAGAGAAACTAACCAGATAAAAGAACACTATTAGTTCCTTCAGAACTAAAGTGAACATATTTGTTCCATCTTTGTCCAAGAAGGGTGCTCTCAGAGAGGTTTCCCAAACAAGAATTCAAAATGAGTCAAGAACAATGATTTCTGATTAGGATACAGCCTGAAGAACTCCTTAACTAGCACTCTCCTCTTTTTTCTGATTTGGCTTTAATCCTACTCATTGTATGTGCATAACTCTGACTATCTGACATCAGAATTAGTTTTTTCAGAAAAGAAGTAAAATTGTTATAAAACTATCTTCACACAATCATGATTAGTTTCCACTTTTTCTACTTCTGCAGGAGGAGAAGTTAAACAGGAAGTTAGGGGACAGCAGGATGTTTTATTTTGCCTTTTATTAAATCAAACAATGCTTTCTTGAAATATTACATGGTCACTGAAATGTACAATTTTTGTGTTTTTATGTATGTTTTTAAAACAAATTTAATTTAAAAATTATAAAGAATGTTTTTGTTACCTTCATTCATCTTGTAATATATGGTTCCCACATCACTTAAGATTCTCGATGGCTTCCCCATGCAATTCTGTGATTTGCTTTAGCAACCTGGCCCAATTTCCATACAGAGCCTCTTAATTTACAATCCAGTCAGTGGGATGATGGAATTTAGCCAGCTACCATCACTCAGGCCTTACTCCATACTGGTATAATTTGTTTCTATGTATGTTAAAATGTATAACTTTCTTAACTTTGGATTTCAAGAAAATGTTGAGTCTGTAGCAATCTATCATAATCATGGCCTTAGTAGGCACGAAAACTACACTTTTCACTATTGTTACTTATACTCTGGAAACCCAATTCCCTGGGAAGAGTTGATGCAAAGGCTGCACGAATGGATTAGAAGTGATAAACACAGAACGCCTTCTTTCAAAGCTTCTCTGATTCCTATCCTACTGTCAGGTTCTAGCCAACAGGAGTCATTTTCATTTTTTATGTAATTAATTCACTGATTTATGAAAAGCCTTTTGTAACAACTATTTACAACACAAAATCAGATATGTAAAATTAAAACAGACCAGAAAATAACTCAAACACTCTTACCTGGTTAATATTTTTTGTTTATCATTTTTGTTTTTGTTTTTTGAGACAGGGTCTCACTATGTAGTTGAGACTGACCTGGAACTCACTATGTAGCCCAGGCTGGTCTTGAACTCACAGCGATCCTCCTGGCTCAGCCTCCCAGAGTGCTGGGATTACAGGCGTGTGCCACCACACCTGGCTCCTAATTAATATCTTTTAACACAAAATCCTGGGGGCTGGGGATTTGGCTCAGTGGTTCCACTGCCTGCCTTGCAAGCATAAGGACCTGAGTTCGATTCCCAGTACCAAAAAAAAAACATAACACAAAATCCTGGTCAATAAAATATATACCTTATCAACTACATTCATTGATGAAGTTTCATTATACTATTGGCAAAATATTCACATGTAATCAGTGATCGTGTAATATATGATTTTTTTATTGTTAAGTTTATTGGTACACTTTAAGCATACAATCTGATGACATTCATCTTTGGGAATTTGTACCTTTACATGATCTATCTTTTTTTTTTTTTTCTAGTACTGGGGATCAAACTTAGGACCCTGTACTTGTAAAGCAGGCATGGTGGCACTGAGATAAATCCCCCGCCGCTAAATGATATATCTTGGTTCTTATTTTTTTCCCCATTCCCCTGCCCCCCTTCAACCCTTCCACTCCTTCCTATTTACAAAGACTTCATTTCTTTTTTTCCCCCTCATATTTACTGCTTTCTCCTCCCCCTTGCCCTTCCCTTTTCCCTTTGAACCTTTTCTTCCTATTTCATATTATCTATTACACCTTTTAATCCTTAATGTGTAATATATATCTTTTTTTTTGAACTGGGGATTGAACTCAGGACTTGCAATTATGAGGCTGGCATGGAATGTAATATATATCTCCATAACACTGAAATAATGATCAAAAAATATATGGACAGGCTACTACTCACATAATAAGTATGGAAAGAAGGTATAACTCACTGGTAGAGTATTTGTCTACCACATACAAGGACCTGGGTTCAATCCCTAGCGTGGCTAAATAAACAAAGTACAATAAGGGGACAAAATGTTGTCCTCATAACAACTCTGTCATGGTTTGTGTCAAGATGTCCTCCAAAGCCTCAAGTGGTCATAGGTGGGGCTTTTCGGAGGTGGCTGCATCTTGAGGATGTGATGCTCGGATCAAGGGTGTGTGATTACTAGATTAGTCCACTGATTGGTTTGGCATAGTTCTTGGAATGTATAATGGGAAGGACCTCACACCTTCCTTGGTGTGAATGCTACCCACCCTAAGGGCAGGTAGCCTGAATAAAATATAGGACAGAAAGAGGGCTGCTGTAGTTACTTCCTTCTTGCTTCCTTGCTACTTTGCTGCTTTGTGGCCTTCCTGTCTGCTGCCTGCCATGAACTGTTTCTCTTCTTTGATTCCCCCCTCACAGGTCACCCTGCCTTGGAGCCAACTATGAACCGAAACTCTGCAAACTGTGAGCCAAATAAACCTTTTCTCCTTTAACTTTGGGTGTTCGGTACTTTGTCTCAACAACAAGAAAAGTAACTAAAACATCAAATAATAATCCAGGAGCAATATATATAAAATAGGGCTATAATTTCAGTGATTATTCTAAAAGTTCTTCCAAAATTCTTAGGCTAAATATCACTGTGTTACTCAACATGGCTCCATTATTCACAACAGTGACTCTCTTTCAAAAGCTCTTTAGGGCCAGGGATTTAGCTCAGTGGCACCATGCCTGCCTCGCAAGCACAAGGTCCTGAGTTCAGTCCCCAGTACCAAAAAAAAAAAGTTCTTTAGCTGAATTTCTAGCTCCGATCATGATGGCATAAAGGATTTTGCCCTATCTCAAACAGTAAGAAAACTTGACAAAATATTTTTAAAAGTGTTGGACAAAAGATAGCAGATAAAGGTCAGTTTCATCAGAAATATAATAATCCTAAACATATGTATACATAATAACAGCATCAAAACACATAATGCAACAACTGATCAAACTGAAAGGAGAAACAGATAAATTTACAATTATAGCTGAAGATTCAATACTGATACTACAAGGAGACTAAAGATCAGTGAGGATATGAGACCTAAATCATCTATTGACCAACTTAATCTAATTAGAGCACTACAGCCACCTTCAGCAACCACACATCACCTTCAAGGGTGAATATTTACTAGGGTACAGTATGTGCTGGAATACAAAATCAGCCTCAATGGGTTTAGAGAGTTTGAAATAAAACAATATATTCTCAAACCACACTGGAATTAAATTAATAATCAGTATCAGTATGTTATTTGGAATAGCCCCAAATAGTTGGTAAGTAAACAATAGACTTCTAAATAAATGAGTCAAAGAGGAAATCAAAAGGAGAATTAGGGGGCCAGGGATTTAGCTCAATGGTTCCACCATCTGCCTCACAAAATCAAGGACCCGAGTTCAATCCAGTACCACAAAAACAAAAAACAAAAACTCCCTCCCTCACACCCCAGAGGTAGGGCCATGTGGCTGTCTGCCTGGATTTACTATCATGTAACAAAAAAAAAAAAAAAAAAAAAAAACAACACCAAACAAACAAAAGAATTAGGGAACAGTTTACTGACTGTTGTGATAATTATTAAATTTGTGGATCGGAGGAAAATTTAAAGCTTTAAATGTTCATCTTAGGAAAGAAAAGCCTCAGGCCAGGGATTTAGCTCAGTGGCACTGCACCAGCTTCACAAGTACATTGTCCTGAGTTCGATCCCTTGTACTTTAAAAGAGAAAAAGAAAAGCCTCAAACCAATGACCTCAGCCTCCACCTTTAGAAGTTAATTCCACAATTAAAAAAAGGAAGAAATAGAAAACAAACAATTGAAATAATCAGGATATACAAATGCACAAATTAAAACAGACAATGGGCAGACTTATCCCTGTTGACCCTAACATTTGGAACAACCCTTAATTTCTCTGGAAGTGGTTAATTGCTAATCTACAAAATTATACTATATATAATAACTTCAGTTATTCTAATCAAAATTTTTGGAAATGAAGAGATCACAGATCATAATAAATTTTATTTTATTTTTTGTGTTTCTGTGTATTTAGTAAACACAAAACCAGAGAGAATCCTGAGAAGATGCCAACTAAGACAATTTTATTACTTTTTGAAGAATAGAAGAATCCAGAACTTTGGTATGTTCTGGCTTAAATAGCCCTCCAAAATTCATGCTCTGGAAACTTCATCCTCGAACTCATCTGTTAGTATTACTGGGAAGGCAGAGCCTGTGGGAGGTAACTGGGGTGAGACAAGGCCATGAGGTGAGACCACCACGAAGGCAGCAGCAGCTTCGTCAGAAGAGAGGCTGGAGTTAGCATGTGTGTTCTGTGAAATCAGAAAAGTCTGCATCTCACAAAAGGCACTGTCAGATGGAACTAAAAATGCAGACAAATGTTTAAAGGGTCAAAGGAATTTAATTAATATGTGAGTACCACAATTTTAGACATTTCCTAAATATTATAAATGTTTTCACTGGTGGCCAACCGAACATGTTTCTTATCATGTAATGGTAATAGCAGATTTTAAAACAACAGATCAGATACTTCAGGAAGAACTCACTTCGGGAAGCCTGGGCACCCTAGGAGATAATTGACTTTTGAAGCTGTGACTCTCACAGGGCAGAAATCATTGTAACTACAGTGTCTGTTGGGGGACAGGATGTGTTGTTCCCCACTCAGTCATCTCTGCAAGTAAAGAAGCAGGCGTGGAAGGATGATTCCATAGCGTAACGAAGGCACCGCAAACAGAGCGGGTTAGAAGATAGAAGAATAGTCAGATTTTTCTAAGAGAACAAAAACACAGGGGCTACTTAATGCAGACAGGATGGCTGGCTGTCGGCAGTGGCTCACATCACATTTTATTGTATATAAGATAAAGAGATGTCTTTTTATATCCTTAAGATTAACTAAAGGGAAAGACCACCCCCAAAAAAATTTCTCTAAATTTTTCCCCCTCACAATGGCCATTTCCACCCTAATATTAGAAACCACACTAGTAAGAACAAGGAAGAAGAATGTAAATACCTGCACTGCCAAAACCTTGACTGCCAATCAGTCTTAAATTACATGCAAACTACTAAATGATAAGCATGCTTCTCATGCCAGACTTGCGACAAGACTGGATTCACTCTCCATTCTTTTAAACAATCTCACAGCCAGGTTCGATGCTGTTCCAAAATGTTCAGTGTGGAACCAAACCCATGCTTCATGGTTACCAGGAACCGTGTTTGCTCAGAAATAGGTAGTTCTCCCAGATTTTGGGATCTCACTTTATTACATATTTAGAAACTTTTCCTTCTGTAATTATAAAGCTCTGAACCAAAGAATGACCACTAATCAGACATGTCCTGAAATAATAGATGATCAAATAAAATTACATGCCTTAATGTAAGCTGCAGTTTTATAAGAGTATACCAGCCCACAGCTTTTATAAATTAATGTTCAAATTAAGAATATAGCTGGGCGTGGTGGCACACGCCTGTAATCCCAGCACTCGGAAGGCTGAGGCAGGACGATCACTGTGAGTTCGAGACCAGCCTGGGCTACATGGTGAGTTCCTGGTCAGTCTCCACTACATAGTAAGACCCTGTCTCAAAATACAAACAAACAAACAAACAAAAAACCCCAAAGAATGTGAATAATTTACAGATTATAAACTTTATAACAAATGTAGCCAAATACAGTATACACATAACTAGACAGGATCAAGGATATATCTGTATGATTTTCCTAGCCAGGACTTTTGGATATTAATAACATTTTCATTAATTAGTTAATAATTAATTAATAGCTTAATAAAAAGGACTTTTAAAAATACCATGATTCTGGGATTCCCTGAAATTTTAGCTGCTATATTTTTTACTCCACATCTGAGAGGTTCTTCCTTTCATTATAGAAACACAAAAGAAACAGGAACTTAATTGGGGATACGGTGAATCTTTGGCCAAGGAAATACATGCAGTGGTAAAATACCTGTACTTTGTACTGGGCTTTTTTTTTTGTTTTTTTTTTTGTTTTTTTTTTGTACCAGGGATCGAAGTTGGGTCCTTGTGCTTGCAAGCAGGCAGCAGAACCACTGAGCTAAATCCCTGGCCCACTGGGCATTTTTTTAATATAAAGTATAGAGAGACTACATAGCAAAGGGCTTCTCATCATCATCATTAAACAGAGGGCGGCCTTTGTAAGAATTCTGTTTTCTCTTTTACTCATTCACAATAATTTAGGGTTTCTCTCTGGTCACAGAGCCTCTTCAATGTGTCATAAACTACTTCAATATACTTTTTTTTGGGGGGAGAGGGACAGGGTCTCACTATTCAGGCTGATCTTGAACTCAATATGTATCCCAGGCTGGCCTCAAACCCAAGGGGGTCCTCCTGCCTCAGCCTCCCTGGTACTAGGATTACAGGCACGCACCATCATGCCCAGCTAACTTCAATATACATTTAAGACGCCTAACAGAGGGCTGGGGATTTAGCTCAGTGGTTCTACCACCTGCCTCACAAGCAGAAGAATCCAAGTTCGATTCCCGGTACAAAAAAATAAAATTCCCATAATGCCTGACAGAATTTAATGTACATCTAGGAAGTGTGTTAATATAATTAGGTAATTCAAAAAATGTATCAATGTTAGAGCCAAGAATAGGACAAGCAAGTTGCTATTTCATATCTTAAACTTTTATTTGGGAATATTGGGGAATCTAACCTATGTTATGTTTTCACAAACACATCCTTCCAGGGCTGAGAATTTAGTTCAGTGGCACCTGTGACTGCCTTGCAAGCACAAGGTCCTGAGTTTGATCCCCGGTACCAAAAGACAAAAAATTTAAAAAAAAACATACACATCCTATTCTTTTGTACTCTAAAATAAACTATAGACTAAAAATTTAGGGAAGATTCTTATTCTGACCTTAACTTATTAAAAGTGTTTGACCAGCCTTCTGTGCTATTCAGTCAGTTGTCAAAACTACAACCAACACAATTTCAAGGTGGGTTTTTTTTTCCCTTGAAGTACTTGGGTTTGAACGCAGGACTTTGAATATGCTAGGCAAGTGATCTACCACTGAATTACACCCCAGCCCAACTTCTACATATTTCTAACAATTACAACTTGTTTCAAGATCACTCCTTTTAAAAAGCCATCTTGTCAGGAGCTGTATATCACATGATCAAGAAAGAGTTTCCCTTTCCTATTTACTTACTTATCCTAAAAATGACAAAACCGCTGTAAGAATTCCTTTTTTTTCTACATTGGAATGTAGTTTTAGCTTGTGGGGCCTCTCACAGCAGGATAAATACCTGTGGAGCATGATTAGCCAGCCCAGGCTCAAGAGCTCTAACTACCCCCACCATTCAAAATGCAAACACGGCCTACTGTGACACGTGGCCACACAGCATGGGCTCTTAAAGGTTACTTTGTTACTTTTAAGTGAACTAAAAGATGGATGGCTTTTGCGTGCTCTAATACTTCTTTTCTGCAACATGGATTGTGGGGTTCTTAACAAGTTCTAGGCCAAGACTAAAGTATCGGCTTAAATGTCACGAGGAACATACCGGTCCATCTAACAGTATTGGATAACTCTTGGAGCCAAGCGCTGTAAAGACTCAGTAGCCTGTATTTTCTGTTCAAAGGCCTTCTTACATAGTTTCAGATATGTTTTTCTATATTTTTAATTTACCTAAATTTCCTTAAAAGGTATGTACAAGTTTATAATACATAAAAATGTAGTCAACTTCACTTTTTAAAATGAATATAATGAAGTTGATTAATTGTGCGTGTACACACACACACACACACACACACACACACACAGATGGTCTCTTAGGGAGGCCACTTACATGATTTAATTCAGTGGGTGCTCAGCACAGTCTCACTCCATAAAAGAGTACCTTTAGTGGCTATTCATTTGTCCATTGAAGGCTTCAGTATTTCAAAATAAAATTCAAGAACCCCTCTGGGTATATAGAAGTTAGGGGTATTTCAACAAGATCACCTGACAGCTAACTGAGAGCAAATATTTCTAAAAATGGGACAGCAGTGATAGATGGGAACAAACTGGAGAGAAAACAAAAGGGAAGAAGCTAAAGATGAACCCACACGTTCTTCTGGTCAATAGAACCAGATTTTTTTCTTTGTACCAGGGATCAAACTTAGGACGTTGCACTTGCAAAGCAGGTGACGGCACCGCTGAGCTAAATCCCCAGCCTGTACATAACTAGATGTTTTTACCACTATTCATCTTCACTGTATGAACTATTTGCCCGATGTTTGATAATACACGTAACAGAGTCATTATTTTCCCTGCAGACTGTATTTGTGGGATATTTACTACCCAAAAAACTAACTTTGAGAAACTGTCAGTAATTGAGAGCTGAGCATTGTGGTAACATGCCTGTAATCCCAGTATTCCGAGAGGCTGAGGCAGGAAGAGCACCATGCGTTCAAGATCAGCTTAGACAATTCAGAAACTTAGTGAAAGCCCCATCTTAAAATGAAGGGGAAAAAAGGGCTGAGGATACAGCTCAGTGTGAAAGCAATGTGTTCAATCCCCAGGACCACAAGAAATTAAAAAGGAGAGGTGAAGAGAGGGGAGGGGAGCAGAGGAGGGAAACAAAGGACAGAAGGGAAGACTTTTAATGATTGATTATTCTAGGAAAATATAGATCTGCGTCTAGATTTCAAAGGTTCCAGAATTTTGAATTTTTATGTAGCTTCCCAATAATAACAACTTAATTTATACACTGAGTCAGGGACTCAAAACAACATCCCTAAGTAAAAGTTATAAACAAAAGCTTTACCTCTTGTTTTTCTTGATTTTGATCCATATTAAGCAAAGCTGGTATTTTAGACGAATCTGTTTTCTTTGATTCCCTCTTCAGCACTTTCATTGGTTTAACTTTTGAAAAAAATATATAAAACAATGAAAATCTGTTATTCCTGTGTTGAAATTTTACTTTCCTCTTCAAGAATTTCAAATGGAAATTCTAAAACCCACTAGTCAGTTTCTTAGCTTATTATAAAGAAAATGAATAAATCATGAGCTGTAGTAGTAAAATAAGGCAAATCACTTATTTTACAAATAGTCTGCCAAATATTAAAATAGGCATTTATTTTTATTCTGACTATAACTGTTAAAATTCCTCTTGAACTATTCAAGTACTACAGTCTTGCTATTTTATCATATTTGCACAAGATGTCACTATTCTTCAAAGAAACTTAAGAATACTTATGTCCTTGGGCAAAAAATGAGTTAAGATAAATCTTAGAGTTAAGATTAGATAAATCTGAAATTAATAAATTTAATCTACCAAATCCTTGGGTGCTCAAAGCACATATGCCATCCCAGGAAATATCTGGATATAATCATGGAGAAACGAAGGAAGATGATTTCTTCCATGTCAGTTACTGAGAGCCAAAATCACTTTTCTCAAAACACCACCTAATGGGGCAACTCACTTTCCAGTCCCCCTTCTGTCTCTCTTAGACAGAAGCTATCTTTCTCTCAATAAATTTTTTCCTATTCTTATCCTCAGTTGCTCTTAGAGTTCATTCCTTTTTTTTTTTTTTTTTTTTTTTTTTTTTTGTTTCTGGTGACAAAACTTAGCACTCAGCTTGGG